GAATTCCCAGGGTCCTTCCTCTGTCATAGGAGGGACTGGGCCTAAGACGCCCTAGAACTTCGCTATTCCGTGGTCACGTCTCACAGTGTCGGGCTCTCCTCTCCTCTGGGTCTGCCCCACGCCTGCCACCCCATGCCCGCCCCTCCTCCAGGCCTTGAATGTACCATTGCTGGGCCCCCACCCCGATCAGCTGCAGGTGGGCCTGGGGAAGTTGGCAGCCTGGGACTAGGCCCGCCTGGCCTGAATCAGCCCTGTCCTGCCCAGGCTTCTGGGGGTATGGCCCAGCAGGGCTGGGATTGCAGCAACCCGGCATGCTTAGGAGGGAGCGGGGCCCAGCCCCCCCCAAAGTGGGGAGTGGGGGGGGAGGACAGCAATGGCAGCCAGGGACTCCTGCGCATAGGCCTCACCTGGTGGCTCGTGCCAGCAGCCCCTGCCCATGTCGGCTGGTGTTCTAGGCAAGGAGGCTCAGGCTGGAGCCGGGAGTCCCCCCTGGGGGTGCCCAGTAGAGTGGTGAGTCAGAGTTTGACTCCCTCTGGGTTGTCGCTGCACTGTGCTGCCTCAGTTTCTCCAGAAGCTCTCTGAGGGTCCGCCTGGCTGACCCAAGAGGTTTGGGCCAGAGCTTCTCTTCCCACATATGGCAAGCAGATAGGCGCCTGGCTGGGGCCAGCTGCTGTGGCCACCCTGCCCCACTGGCCAGTGGCTGTTTTTCCCAGCTGAGGCCTTTGCTTCCTTGGTGGCTACTTCTGCTCCATCGGAGCCTGTGGTGGGGCCACAGAGTAGGAGCTTCCCCTGGGCTCCCTGGCCCGACTGCTGAGTCTGGCCTGGCGGTATGTCTGTCTGCAAGTGAGTGGGCAGGGCCCCAGCCTGCAGGCTGTGTACTGTCTGGGTGTGCAGTGTTCGCTGACCGTGCAGCCCTGCTCCTACCCCAGGTAGGAGTGCGGGTGTGGAGTCTGGTCGGGGTACGCATCGCATTTACCCGCTGGGCCCGCGGCCTGGGGCTCAGCCATGTGCTTGTGCTGCCTGACCAGCCCCTGACGCGGGGCTCGCCTGGCTGCCCCTGTGGCTTCGTGTGAACCTGCGGGTGTGTCTCATCTGATTGCGCTCGTGGTTTGCCCGCGTAGGTCTGTTGTCCGCCCTGTCGTGACCCTCTGTGTGCAGACACGCATCCCTTAAAGACAGGACGTGTTCAGAGGAGCGTGTTGTCCAGTGGGTGTCACTGTGCAGGTGTTAGAGTGGAGCCTGGCCATGCCCTGCCCTCGATGTGTGCCTCCCGCACGCCCAGGCT